AGGGAGGGGGAGGGAGGGGGACGGAGAGAGAGGAACATTGAGCGGCGGCCACCTGCACACCCCCTACTGGGGAATCAAGCCTGAAACCCGGGCATGTGCCCTGACCGGGAATCCAATCGATGGCCTCAGTGCACAGGACAACACTCAACCAACTGAGTCCAAAAGGCCAGAGCTCTGGCTTGTTCATTTTTTCAACAGGCACAGTAACCCTAACCCTGAGTTGCTCTAAGGCTCAGGGCCGTGTGCAGCTTCTACACTGATGAACTCCCACACCAACGGTACTGCAACAATAAAGCAATGCCGTTAATGCCGTAGGCTGACGCAGCCAATAGGCTCGGGGCCTCTTAGAGGTCACGGAAGTGGTCCCTTACCCCTGTCCCTGACCCCCCGAGAGGACGGCTCTGAGTCACGAGCCTGCGCCGTCGGTGGCTTACCTCGGCCGCGTACCTCACTCCATCCACCACGTGCTCGGAGCCGTGGTCGTCAGCGGAGCCCCAGTGCAGGTGAAACTGCCGCAGCCGGTATCTCCCGGTGAGGGGACCCCCTCGCAGAACTAAACATCAACACAGTTGAAATCGTTAGCAAGAAAAATGTGTATCCGCGTGATGCCCCACCCCCGGCATCTCCCTGAATCGCTCAGCATGTCTGCGGCCTCCGAGGGACCTTTTATGGATGTGCCGTGGAGTTCGTGGATGGGAGTCTAGCTTCCCAGTGTGTGGGGAGTGAAAATAAACATTTTAGAAGGTGAGGGTCCAGCCCCAGCTGGTTTCGCTCAGTGGTTAGAGCGTCGGCCCTTGGGCTGAAGGGTCCCGGGTTGGGTCCCGGCCAAGGGCACGAACCTCCGTTGCAGGCTCCATCCCTGGCCCAGGTCGGGGCAGGTGCTGGAGGCAAGCAATCGATGTGTCTCTCTCTCTCACATCGATGTTTCTCTCTCTCCCCCTTCCACACGCTCTGAAGAGCAATGGAAAAAATATCCTCAGGTTAGAATTAAAAAATAAATAAATAAAAATAAAAGGTGAGGGTCCACGAGGCAGATGTGCAGGGAGCGCGTGGGAAGTCCCGGCAGACACTCCGGTTAGAGAGCAGAAGGGAGTCACTCGAGGTGAGGACTTGCCCTGTGGCTGGAGGACGTCCGGCTCCGAGGAGCGGGCGTGAGGTGCAGAGGCCCAGCGGGCGGGCCGAGAGCCTCCAGCACTCGGAAGACCTGGGCTCACGCTGGCTTTACTGCCGGTGACCTTGCAAAGGGAGGAGAGAACCTCTCCCAGCCGGCTGCAGCCATTCGAGCTCTCTGTCCCTCTGTCCCAGACAGAGTGGCATCACTGGTTCTTGCCTTGGACAATGCTCATGGGGAAGAGACTCCGCTTGGGTCCCTGCCGTCCCCATCACCTTACACGGGAACTGTCACTACGGTGATCAGAATAGACATTTGATGAATGCATGAAGAAAATGTTTGATTTGGCCCGGCCGGTGTGGCTCGTTAGCTGAGCATTGTCTCGTGAACCAGGAGGTCAGGGGCTCGATTCCTGGTCAGGGGACGCACCTGGGTTTGAGGCTCGATCCCCCGTATGGGGCATACAGGAGGGAGCTGATCAATGACTCTCATCATTGATGTTTTTCTCTCTCTCTCTCCCTCTCCCTTCCTCTCTTCCAAAAAAAATCAGTAAAAACATATTTTAAAAAAGGAAATGTTTGATTTGGCTTTAAACAGTCTCCAAGATGCTTCACAGATAAATGAACCGGAAAGGCAGGCGTCCCTAAGTGACGGCAAACAGCACGGATGCCACGGCCTTCAAGTGAAATCAACACCCCGGCTGCCCGTCTCTCCTCATCTGCTGCGCAACAGGACCCGAGCCACGCCGTGAAGTCAGGTCTCGCAGCTAACACGCAGATGAGAAGGCTCAGGAGAAAGCCCGCGATACCCAAAAGCACACGTGGTCGGGGAAAGGTCCAAGAATCGGGGCTGACCTGGGGAGAGCCTGCCCTGAACCCAGGGTTTAAACCCAGATTAGCACAGCTCCGCCTAGTGGAGCAGCAACGCCTGCCTCGCACTCTACAGGGCCGGGCTCCACATCTGAATGTTTGCACCGAGTTATCCGACCTGCGGCCTTGACCAGCATGTATCTAATGGGAAGACCACCCTCTGGGAGCGGGGCTCCTGGCAGGGTGGGGAGAGGGAGTCAAGATATCACGGTGAATTTCACACTGACGTCCAGAGAGTCTAAAATAAGACAGTTACCCCACTGTGTACAATAAATAATGGCAGTAAGATAATTTTTAATGAGAAAAGAAGGTACCGTCCAATCGTCCTAGCCCCTCAACCCCCCGACCCCCAGAAAAGCCCACCTGATTTGTCCTCTGTGTCATCGAAGTCAACGTTGAAGGAGTGGCCACTGTTGCTGATGATTTTCGCTGAGCTCGCGTCATACTTGATGTGAAGGGGTCGGAGGGAAGAGTCGAACTTGGCTTCCTTGGTCTTAATCTCAATGGGGGACTGCTGGTCCCCGTCGGCGATGGGGAAGAGGTCAGGCCAGTGGACAGGACCTTGAACACACAGGACAAAAGAGAAGGACCCCAGAAGTGATTTCACCCAACCAGTCCTCGTGGGGTATGAGGTGCTGTGCTTGGGGTTGAAGGGAGAGCGGGGATTAGACAGACAAGGGCTCGTCCTCAGGGCCCTGGCGTCTCATTGCGTGCGGTCATTTTTACAAGACCAGTTGCTCTCGTTAGAGGGATGGAAACTTCCTGGTTTCCCTTCACTCGTTTTCAGAATCAAACAGACCCTTGTAGACAGAAGAGCGTGTGCGTTTTATAAGGTACTTTCCAAAGGCACCATCCTGCCAAACGAGAAACAACAGCACAATTCATCACTGAGCACAAGGAGATTCAGTCTCAGCTCCAAGAACGAGCCGTGGGGGCCCCGGCGCTCGGTCCCGTGACCAAGTTCACGGCCGAAGGAATCACAGGAGCCGGGTTAGCCTGCAGCCCAGGAAGGGTGCAGCTCTGAAGGACGCCTCCTTCCCCTTGTCCCGTCCCTGGCTGGCACCTTCGCCGTCACCCAGCCTCACCCAAGGGCCTGTGATGTGCAGCAGGTAGTCTGTAAACTCCCACACGAGAAAATCTACAGGCAGGGGCTGCCCCGGGCTGGGAGAGGCAGTGCTGCGGGTGGTCTGCCGGGAGCCTGGCAGCAATTTATTTCTCTCTCTCTGCACTTCGGGGAGTCCTTCTGGGGTGATCTGCCAACGCTACATGTGAATTCCAAAGCGGGGGACAATGGTCACCCTGATCCTCTGCTCAAAAAAGCCAAACAGGCTGAGAAGAAACTAAGACACTGATGTGGCCGAGGTCACACCTGGTCGGGCCTGGTGGACAGAAGGAGCACGTTCGGCTGGCTCCCGACTATGATGCGTGAACATCGCCAGCAAAATTGGGGTCAGCTACACTGAGTCCAGCTGGCTAATTCAAAATATAAGCATTTTACACTGTAAAAAGAAAGAAGGAAAGTCCTTGCTTACGGCTTATCACAGAAACAGCACTGCATCTCCTACTTACGAAGTCCTCCCGCTCCGCCCTCCAGGACTCTCCCTGGATGCCGTCTAGTTTTTATTTTTATGTGAAAAAGTCCTCCACTTGGCCCCCACCAGGTCGGACTTAACCTGAAGGGCGCTGGGCTTCAGAGAGGAGCGTGTGTCGCAACGTGGCCCACGCCTTTCCAGCCGGGAAGCAGTTTCTTTCTCCCCCTAATGACTTGCTCTCCTGTTCCCAGGGCTGTATAACCAGACCATTTTGAAATATTTAATATTAAATATTAACCACTAGGCTAGGTTCATGTCCCTGCCTCTTCATGTAAAAAAAAAAAGAGAGAGAGAGAGAAAATGGTTTGCTTTGGATTGTTCAGGAGACAAGGAAGCGTCTTGTTCCTGCGGCTCCGTCAGTCACTGCGTTTTGCGCCTGTGTCTTAATGTCAGTGACCTGTGCTGACCCTCGGGCTCTGCAGGTGCAGGAAGGAGAGGGTGAGGCTGGGAAGGAGCCAGAACTGCGCCTTCACCTTCCAGAAAGAAGCCGGCAGGTGTCCCAGCCGGGCAGGGGCACCGGGGGTGTCACAGTGGCCGAGACACCCAGGTCCCTGGGCTGCCCCACAAGGCCCCCCGAGATTTCAGGGCTGCAGGTCACGTGACTGGAGTTTCCTAACTATAGGGACTGGCACTTTCCGTGCCTTCTTTCCCCGCAGTGCGTGAGGAGCTCACCGGGCAGCTGCCCTGAGTCAGTCCTGTGTCCTCAGACGGCCTCCAGCTCACAGGGGAAG